AATTATAGATTGGGCTACATTATCAATAGTAAAACTCCTTTAGAATTTAATAGGCCTATCATGATTATCGATACACCCTAATAATATAAATCCATAAATGAATTTAATAGGTCGACTAATAGTGCAGGTTGACTAATTGGTAATATAAGATACTTGTTGGCAATATAATGCCGAGTTCATTATCCGAACAATAGATTACCCATGTATAATATTGATTATACCTTAAGCATAACTTAGGGACTTTATGATAAGCTATAGAGGAATACGTTAAAGAGTATGTCTAATTGATTATTAGTCACCTCATAATATCTCTACAGTAAAGTTATATGGCCAAACTTCCATTAGATATATAGAGTTGAATTATATAGCCTCATAATAATAATAAGTTACTTACAATGGTACGATTATAGAGGAACCCCATTTTTTACCCAATACTATAGTGAATATTCACAAGAACTATACAATTGTTCACTAAATTACCATATACCTAGAGGCCTATAATCTCATAAATCATTTGAGTGATAAATCTGATTATAAAGAGAAAAAAATATAGTACTTATAAGGAGAAAGTAATTTATAGACCCTGTTAGCCTATACTAGGCCAATTATAATAGCCTATACAAGTAAGAGTACTCCTCCACATTATAATTTACTGATTATCACTAATGACACATTAATGCTAATTACGAAAGTATATTTCACTAATTTAACAATAACCTTTAGGTAATGATATAGGTATATAAGCTAATGGATTGGAGGGGTACTCCTTATCATAATATAACCTATAGTATATAGAATATTCCCCACATATATAATAAATATAATCCTCAAAATAGATGACAGTATTTACTAATTGATAAAGTTATTATAAGTTAAAATCTCCCCGATTTTATAAAGTTGTCTATAGGTTATCTTTTACCCCTACTATTGATATGTAGCTAAGGTCATAATCGTCCATTTATATATAAGAAAATTGTCATCATTTTGGAGATTTTAATACTATAATGTTGACCTATTAAAAATAGGTATTATGCTTAACTAGTAGTGTCATCCAACTATTACTATAATTCTAGGGGGCCATTGATATTAGGTATATTGCCTTAGGCCTCCTCCATAGTTAAGTCTTTTAACCCAATAGTATCCTCTCATACAAGTACAGCATTCTTGCACATTTCACATTTCCTATCTCTCTCTTAGTCCCATTTATATCTCGTATATATAGGTTAGAGTGGATGAATAGATTAAATGTGTAAGAATATAATATAGAGAGGTGTAGTTACCCCCTATTGATGTAAACATATTAGGCCATCTCTACCCTATAGCTTAATTATAATCACCGTATCAATAGCTTATCATTTAATAGGCTACATGGTTGGGGATAATTATAGATCCACTAATATTCATATTTGGAGATAGTATAATATAACCACCCCTTAGGGTCCCTATATGAAATAATGGAAACTATATTACTATTGGAGACCTATAGGTAATGCTTAATATTGGGCATAATGTTATTGATATTATACCTATAAGGCCAATATTAAAGAGGGATTGATAGACAATAATCTTCTTTAATGTTATTAATATGCGGAGTACTTATCCTTTCTATAATATCGGTAAGGAGATATATAACCATATAATGTTGGGTGATTATATCTCGTATGTTTTTGCTGACTATTATTTGTTAGAGGATAATAATCAAGGCAAACATATGAGATATAATAACATTCGAAATATTGGTAGCTTATCTGGTAAGAGGGAGAAGGGTCATTATATTAGTTGAATTTCTAGAGAATATCCACATATCATAGATGTTATAAGCTCATATTCATCAATGTTAGGAAATTGTTCTTGTAATTATCATTGCTACTTAATCTAACAAGCATAATTATATATTTACTATTTAATTATAAACTACCAATATTTTGATTCCTTACTAAGAGGTACATTCTCTTCAATGAGAGTTATAATCATAAGTTTATAACTTCTCTAATCGACACTCATGTCCACAAAGTGACCATTTCATATTAATTCACTATAACTCGTTAATATTTATGGTTGTATGAAACTTACAAATAGTTTCCTATTTGATAATATCTTTTATCAATAGTGGGGCAAATAACCCTCCCGATATTATAATATAGGGACACCAAGTGTTCTTTTAACTATGTAGGATAATCATTAATCAAAAAGTGGTTAAAATAATCATGGACATTGTAAAATATTGCCTATCTATATTAGGCTAGTTATAGGCCCATCATGTTCCAAATAGGTCATCATATTTAATATTGATAGTTTCCCAATATATAACTTTATAAGACCACCCACATATTACCTTTAAAATTATATTGATATTTTCCCTATTCTATTATAAGGGGAACAAATGTAATATTATTATTAGGATGGGGTTATATATTTACTTATTTGATTAGGCTAAAATAAGTAATGTTAGGAAAGAATTTATATCATTCATGATATAAGCTATACTATTGACCTAAAATAAGTTATGCTAACCACCCTTTGAGAGGAGATATACTTTCTCCCAAATCTATGGTAAAGGTGGGTAACATCATGGGAATTTTACTTACATCGTAATTTAACCTCCCTTATGAGTATTAATTTATGTGGCTTGTTGGGGATGAAGTACACCATCTTTCAATATAGAGGGTTATAAACAAACGTAATGTGATAACTATACATTAATAAAATTATCATGGCTATGTTCACTCAAACCTTTAATAACTATGTTTGATATAGTTTCTCCCAACCTCCTAGTTATATTTAAACCTTTAACATTATATATCTCTATAGGGGTTGATAGTACCATGATGGCAAATTATCATCACTCGGATATATTGTAATCGATAGTAAGTTCATAAATAATATACCAATAGTATGATATGATTATTAAATTGGATACCAATGAATTATATCTTTAGATAGCATTGAATGGTATATGGATTATTGACCTACTCTATCCAAATATCTTTTGGGGCCTATAAACATGTTAGCTAAATCACTAGACTCATTAGTGTGATAAGTTGATCACTTTATAATTATCAAACTAGAGAGAGTAGGGGTGAGAGAGAGGGAGAGAATTGAGATAGCTCATGGCATGATTGTTATAAAACATATAACTATAGTTGAATAAAACTATATAGGCCTAATTTAGTTAGCCATTATAGGAGATTATAAGCCCTAGATCACATTCCCCCTTAATAAGACTTATAATTACACTTAGATGGACATTGCACTTATTAACAATAATTTATGTCTCTAATAAATTCATCAATAATCCATCCTATAATGGGAAATATTTCATACATATCTTTAGATCAAGATTGTTCCTCTCCCTAGCTATCCACTATATGTAAAATCAGTTATATTTTTGGCCATATCATAACAGCCACATTTGATACTAATGAGAATAAAGAAAGTCCAGGTTGTATTAATGGAAACCAACGAGCCAAATGGGCTAGCAAGGTGGCGTCTCCAAGAGAGATCTAAGATTATGAGTTTGCAAGTCTAAGATTTGATCCGTTACATATTACAGATGGTCCAATGAGGTGGGCTAGGGCTAACAAGCTTAAAGAAGCTCTCCATGGGCTGATTTAAGCGTGTTGGGAAGAATGCACTTCCAAGGGCCCAAGGGAGCATTGTGTCGCCATCTTAAGAGAAGAGGGGATCCAAAACTTGTCAATCTGATCCAAGTTTGAGATTGGGCTCCTTAAATTATATTGGGCCTATTTTGTTATATCTAACTTAATTATAATTAGAACTAATTAATTAAGTTGGATTTGGGCTCAATTTTTTAAGCCCTATTATTTTCATATTCTTTCAAGTCCAAGTAGGGTTTGTTTATGTTCTCCTTAGATGGCAAGGAGTGTAGAGTCCTTTTAGCATTAGGAGTGAGGTTTTTAGCCTATTTAAAGGCTGGTTTAGTTATTATCCTTGCTTAATAACTACCATAATTGAAAGGTATAATAATATGCTATACGACAATTCTAGTAAAAAAACATATTTGTGTAAGGATACCTTTATAAGGGCACACCTTTATCCGATTACTATGTAAATAGGATTTAGTATATTATTAGTTGATCAATATTATACTATCATGGATAATATATTTAGATATGGTAGGAAGATATTATATCGGAGGAGTTATTGGTTAAGATGATATGGAATATAGTGTATCGTGATCAATTCATGAATAGTTTATCAAGACTACCACTCGATCACCAAGAGGGATTGCCTCCTTGTAGATATACTCCTTTATATTCATTTGTCTTATGAATATAATCTCCATGCAAAGCCATTACTATTTTATCATGAGTATAAATTTACTTATAAAGGTATCTCTAGGGCATGTCTTTTCATGAGAAGGAGAGATTGAGTTATCAAACTATTTGAACCACTCGTGGTGAATGTCTTCCACATGAATTTCTTAGAGCATGATAGGGCCTTCTATAGAGAAGACATAGTGATTCTTGATAAACTATTCATGAATTGATCATGATATACTATAGGCCATATCTTCTTAACCAATAACTCCTCCGATATAATATCTTCCTACCATATCTCCCATATATATTGTGTGCGACAAGTCTTAAGAATGGCACTCCTTAATGATTTTATAATTGTTTCAATTATGAATATTCCAATTACCATATAACAATAGTTGTCTTCTTGGCAAACTTGAGCCTAAAATTATGATAAACCCCTATTGATCATAGGTCAATCCTATCTCTCTATCCAATCCGTGTATGAGACACTAGATTCTATTAATATGGGTATGCTATAATAGGGTATGCCACATTAATTATTTTTGCCACACTCGGTATAGTATATTAGCCTTATGGAACTTAACCTATGATCAATAAAAGAATATCCACCGATATGATATCTTTCAAGGTTAATATAGATTACCCCCTTTATCATTCTCTCCCTTTATAATCATTTTAACTATTTTATTCATAAATAACAATTACATTCATGAGGAGACATTACCTATACCATCATTGATGGAAACTATGGAGCTAAATGGACCAACAAGGTGGTGTCTCCAAGGAAGGTTCAAGATGGTGAGTTTATAAGTCCAAGATCTGATCCATTACATATTAAAGATGGTCCAATGACATGGGCTAGGGCTAATAAGCTTAAATAAGCTCTCTATGGGCTGATTTAAGAGTGTGGGGTAGAATGCACTTCCAAGGGCCCAAGGAAGCAATGTGGTGCTATCTTAAGAGAGGTGGGGGATGCAAGATTTGTCAATTTGATCCAAGTCCAAGATTGGACTCCTTAAATCATATTTGGCCTACTTTGCTATATCTAGCTTAATTATAATTAGAACTAATTAATGAAGTTAGTTTGAGCTCTATGTTTTAAGCCCTATTATTTGCATATGTTTTTAAGACCATTAGGGTCTGTTTCTATTCTCCTTATGTGGCAAGGAAAAGTAAAACTCTTTTAGGGTTAGGAGTGGTGTGTTAGATAATTTAAAGCCTGGTTTAGTTCTATGTCGGACACACAATAATTATGATAGTTAATAAATCTGAAAGGATTTTCTTCCTTTATTGTTTTGAGAACTAATCTAACTTAGCAAGGATTGCAATCCTTGTGGCATCTTTGAACTTATCATCCTCCATAGGGTGTGGAGTTTTTCACTCCATTGTATTATTGCCTCCTCATAGGCAATGGGTCGGGTTCCACATATTATAACCTAATTGAACGTGTTCTTGGGGTTGTCTAGTGACAAAGGTGTTTGGGTCTCTCATCTTTATATGTGGGGTTCACATCAATTGATATTAGAGCCTAGGTTGTGCAAAGTCAGGATGGTTATCCATAGTCCTTGTACCTTTTATTTCATATCTGCCTTGTTTTCTTTATTGCGTCTTCCTTGTTATTTTGATATATCTTCTATTGTTTGAGTGTCGTACTCCTTTACTTGATAAATTGAGTCTTATATATATATATAAGAAAAGGTCTGATTTGTTTTTAACTTTTTTTCTCAATATAAATCAGGTTTTTTTCATTATCTTTTGTTGTATTTCATGTCTTTGTAGTTAATTTCATTTTAGTCCAAATTGAGTCAATTTTTCAATTGAAAAAAAAACACAAAAAACAGTTTGATTAGTTTCTATCCTATTCTATATCATTCATTATTGTCTTGTGTAATCCAAGTCTATCTTGTCATTCAAATTTGAAAATTTTTCTTCTTATTCCAAATCGAAAAGAAAACGTCCTAAGGCTACCAAAAGAAAAAATTGTTATGATGTTTTACTAACTAAAGAAAAAAAAGAAGAAAGAAAGAAAGAGCAATCTTATTGGTTACAAAAGAGAAGTGTGTTTTGTTGATTGAATGTTTATAAAGAACAATTGAAATTTTGAAGTAAATTAGATTTGTGGAACATGAGCAAGACATGATCTTTGAACAAATTACAAGAAACGGGTTGTTATTGAGCCTAAGCACTCCAAACACACGTGAAACTTATACAATCAGAATTTGATGATTGGAAACCAAATTGAATGTATTGAGGAGAGAGTAGGAAAGCCTACAAAATCACCTTGATTTACTCTTAAGAGTTTAAGTTTAGTTTTGCCATTTGTGTTGTATTTCTAGATTTGTCTAATTAGTTTCATAAAGAGCTTAGTAGAGGAAATAAGAGTGGTAAAAGGCAAAAGGGTGAGATTATTATAGCAAAGCCTAAACATGAGTGTGAGTGACATCTTATACGAGTGCAAGCACGTGAGGGAGTGCTATTATGAGGTTCTATCAATTGCTTTAATTTTCTAATTTTCTCTAACATTGTAAGTTTCTAATCATGGGAGATAAGCAAAAAAGAGTGGTTGGAGATGAAGTGGAGGGGAGAGTTGAAAATAAATTGCTTCAAGTGACCCAAGCTCAATGGGGTTAATTAATGCACTTTATAAGGGATATTAACAATCAAATAGAAGCCATGGAGTTGAGGAAAAAATAAGAAAGTTCAAAAAACTCCTCTTCATCTCATACTTGCCTTCTAGCTTCAAGTGGAGGAAGAGTTTGATGATCATGCATCTTTTGTGCAAAATGCAAGAGGTGGGCATGGTAATAGAGGTTGTGGTGGACGTGGAGCCCGAGGTAGTGATCATCATGAATGGGTCCATGGTTTTGAGCAACCAAAAAGTGGGGCATAATGGTTATGAAAACAACAACAATGGGCTTAAACCGACCATCCCTACATTCAAAGGTAAAAATGATCCCGATTGTATCTTGAATGGAGAGAAAGTGTGAATTTGTATGTTGATTGTTATGAGTATTCGGAGGCAAAAAGGGTGAAATCTACTACTGCATAGTTCACATCCTATGTTGTTGTTTAGTGGGATCGCATGGTTTTAGAGAGATGATGAAATGGAGAGCATTCTATTACAACTTGGGATGAGATGAAGGCTGTTATGAAGAAACGATTTGTTCCTAATCACTACTATCAAGATTTGCATCAAAAGCTATAAAGGCTAACTCAAGGTACAAAGTCGGTTGATGAGTACTACAAAGAAATGGAAATAGCCATGACACATGCAAATATTGTGGAGAATCAAGAGGCTACTATGGCTTGACTTGTAGGTGGGCTAAGCTGTGAGATTGCAAACATTGTGGAATTGCAACATTATATCGAATTGGAAGAGTTGATACACTTAGTAAGGAAAATAGAAAGGCAACTCAAACACAAGGGTAATTCACATATTGGACAGCAGACAAGTTCTTCATTTTGGAAGAACAATTGGAGAAGAACGAAGAGAAGCCTATATTTAAGCCCAATGTTGAGGAGAGCAAGCCTAAAACGAATTTTGAATTCAGCAAAGACAAAGGTACTTCTAGAACCCAAACTCTTAAGAACCATGATATTAAGTGTTTCGAGTGTTTGGTTAGGGGACATATTGCTTTGCAATGTCTAAACAAGCGAGAAATGGTGATTCGAGATGGCGTGTATGAATCTAAAAGTGAGTGTGAGAATGATGATGAGATGCCGCCATTAGAAGATGATAATGATGGGATAAAGCATGCTATACATGGAGAAATGCTTGTTGTAAGAAGAGCCCTAAGTATCCAATTAAGGGATAAAGAAGAGGAGTAGTGAGACAATATCTTTCACATATGTTGCCATGTTATAGGAAAGGTATCTAGTCTTATCATAGATGGGGGAAGTTGTACTAATGTTGCTAGTACTACTCTGGTTGAGAAACTTAGTTTGACTTGTGTTAAACATCCTAGGCCATATAAACTTCAATGGCTTAATGATTGTGGAGAAGTGAGGATGATTAAACAAGTAGTTGTGCCATTTTCTATAGGTAGGTACCAAGATGAAGTAATGTGTGATGTTGTACCCATGCAAACTAGTCATGTGTTACTAGCCCATCCTTGGCAATTTGATAGGTGAGTCATGCATGATGGGTTTAGAAATCGTTACTCTCTTATTTTTAAGGGGAAAAGTGTAACTCTTGTACCTTTGACTCCGAAACAGATTTATGAAGATCAAGTGAGGTTGAGAAGTAGTGAAGAAAAGAGGGAGTTGTGTGAGGAAAACAAAAGTAAAATGAGTGAAAAAAAGAATGGAAAGGGGATTGTGGCTGTGAATTCAAAAAGGAAAAAGGAAAGAGAGGCCAAAAGAGCAAAGAGAGAATGCAAGTTTTTATGCAAAAAAAAAAAAAACGAGAGAGATTAAGAGAGCAATCTAGTCGAAACAAAAAGTACTTGTACTTGTGTATAAGGAAGTATTTTTGAAAAGTAAAGATCTTAACTCTTCTCTTCCTAGTGGTAATGTCTCTTTTATAGTATTTTGAAGATGTGTTTATCGAAGAGCTTGAGCATGGATTACCACCAATTTATGGGATGGAACAACAAATTGATTTCATTCTTGAAGGGAAAATTCCTAATTGACCAGCTTATAGAAGTAGTTCGGAGGAGACGAAGGAGCTACTAAGACAAGTAGAGGAATTGATGGCCAAGGGATATGTGCATGAGAGTATGAGACCATGCGTCATTCCAGTTTTGCTTGTGCTTAAGAAGTATGAGACTTGGAGGATGTGTGTTGATTTTTGTGCAATCAATAAGATAACGGTAAAGTATAGACATCCCATTCCTAGATAAATGATATGCTTGATGAGTTGTATGGTGCTTGTGTGTTTTCTAAAATCGATTTAAAATCTAGTTATCATCAAATAAGAATGGGTGAATGTGATGAGTGGAAAGTACCTTTAAAACAAAACATGGTCTATATGAGTGGTTAGTTATGCCGTTTGGCCTTACTAATGCACCTAGTACATTCATGTGTCTTATAAACCATGTCTTGCATTAGTTTTTAGGCAAATTTGCTATAGTATACTTTGATGATATTCTAATATATATAGTAAAACATTAGAAGAGCATGTTAATCATCTAAAATAAGTTCTAAGAGTTTTGCGTAAGGAAAAGTTGTTTACTAACCTCAAGAAGTGAGCAACTTTTGCACGGATCAGCTGGTGTTTTTGGGTTTTGTAGTTAGTGCAAGAGGCATTAAGGTTGATGAATAAAAGGTAAAGGCAATCAAGGTTGGCCTACACCTAAGTCGGTTAGTGATGTGAGAAGCTTTCAAGGTTTGGCGAGTTTCTATTGGCGATTCATCAAAGATTTCAATACCATCATGGCACCACTAACTGAAGTTGTTAAGAAGAGTGTGGGGTTGAAATGGGGAGATGAGCAAGAAAAGGAATTTGCTTTAATTAAAGAAAAGTTGATTTTTGCTCCTTTACTTGCATTACCTAATTTCATTAAAACATTTGAAATTGAATGTGATGCATCGGGTGTTGGCATCTGGTGCAATTTTAATGCAAGAAAAGAAGCCTTTAGCATATTTCGAGTGAGAAATTAAGTGGGGTTGCCTAAATTACCCTACGTATGACAAAGAGCTCTACGTCTTGGTGTGAGCATTAGAGACATGGCAACACTACCTTTGGCCTAAGGAGTTTGTCATACATACTGATCACGAGTCCGTAAAGCATTTGAAGGGACAAAGGAAGCTAAATTGTAGACATGTGAGATGGGTAGAATTTATTGATACATTCCCATACATGATTTAGTATAAACAAGGCAAGAAAAATATGGCATCCGATGCATTATCACTTAGGTATTCTCTAATCTCTACACTTAGT